TGCTGTTTGGGCAAGTGTCAATTATAGTTTCCAAAGCTGTAAGTGGCAATAAATTGGCTATAAATACAATTTCAAAGCAGCAGTGAGTCTTCCCAATCAGTGTGCTGGCACTAGGGCTGTCAGATGCTAGGTGGATGTCCATGAGAGTCCACACGAAAGGAGAGGTACAGGAGGTAAAAGCCAAACTTTTTGGAAGATACAATATCTTTATTGCTCTGAATTTACCTGTACAGGTGCTGAGCTGTTGTATTAAAATGACCAGGCTCGGTCTCTGCCAGCAGTAATTAAGTGCAGAGTTAGAGGCAGCTCAGCATGCCCACTGCCATTCGATATTTCTGAAAATGTCTTCAAAGGCTTTTACGAGCAGTAAAGGACTCAAAGAAAGCCAGAAAGGACTGCGAGGTGAAACTCAGCATTTTCTTGCCCAGTCAAACAAGAAATATTACCCTTTTAAGATCTGAGAGAACAGCGTTTAGCAACAGCTACATAAAAGCGTATGTTGTCTGCAAGGTGTAGATAGGTGCCTAACATTTTCAAAGTGCTCTGCAAATTGTCCCTTTTTTTTGCTGGACTGTGACTGTAATTCATGTAAAACACGTCCTAATGAGAATCTCTCTCCTCACGAAATGCTAAGGCTGTTTTATTCTGAAACAGTGAAAAGAGGAATTACATTTTATTGCATATATTCTCCGGTGCCCTTTGAATGCTTCCATATGTTATGTGTTTACTTTAGCTAGCGACAGCTAAAAATAAAACTAGATTTAATTTAAGGGCTCTGACGGATGAGCCCTAGAGGGTTTTGCTGGTGGCAGCTCTAAATGCTACTTCTCTTAGCTGTGTCTCCTTTCCCTCTGCCCAAGGTTACAGCCTGTCTCAGGGCAGTAGCAGACCACGACACGGCCGTGGGTCCATGTCCGAGCTCGTGATGCTGCCGGGAGCGGTGGCTTTGTGCTGGGCATCGGGCTGGCGGATGGAGGTGGCTCAGGGAGGGCTACCCCCTGTTTCGCTGCTGGAGCGGCAGCCTCTTGCAGGGGCAGGGTGCCGGTGGGTACGGCTACCCCGTCGCCATGCTGAAACCGCCGCAGCCAAATGCTTTGGCATTGACCTCTCAAAGCCCCTCAACTCAGAAGCGTGATGTAAATGTGTCGGCTGTCATACACAGACTTCTGAGGTTTTTCCTATTTTTTTTAAAGTGTTAACATTGCTATTAGATGGTGGGAAGCTGCAAGTTTAAATTTTTACTTAGGTTGCAATGGGGAGCATTAAAAGGCTTAGGTAAGGCAGGTCAGTATAGTGCATTTGGTGTTCGTTTCTGTCTGCTGAAATTGTGGGGCAGGGGTTCCTCCATCAGGACACAGTAGTACGTGCTAAGGATGAAGATTTAGTGTTAACTTAGAACCCCTTCTTACAGAACAAGGCAAATACAGCTTTTGTGCTTTTTTTTTGTGGTGCTCCTGTTTTCTGCCAAATCTCATTACACTGTCAATTTTTATCTTAACTTCATGGCACAAGAAATGACTGAAGATTACTGGTCTTTGTGTCAGTGGGCCACATGAAAAACACAATTCTTGTTTATAGGAGGGCAAGTTTAATCTGTTTTTCATTTACAACTGAATTTTGAGTGATACAGGTTGTAAGTCTGAAACTCTGACCTAGATGAAGTCGATGGAAAATCTCCTAAATTCACGCTAAGTGTTGAGAACTGTTACAACCAACTTTTGCTACTGTCTTAATGAACAAATTCCATTATTCTGGATTTCAAGGGTTTTTTTTTAATTTTTCACATCATGGAAGTACTGTATATTGTTAGACATAAGCTTTCGTCAGAAATTTGGATGTATTCTTTTTATAGCTATTGTTTTATAGTTTTAAGTGATGTTGCGCTTGGCACTGAAAGCACACACAAAGTTCTTCTCCTGTAGAATGGACAGTGTAAAGATCTAAGGAAGGCAAGTATAAGAGACCAGGAGAACAAAAACACTGGACTATGATGATAGAGGGTGTTCACTATTAGAAGGATGTTGCCACCTTTGTGGGAATAGGCCTCAAGTTGCACCAGGGGAGGTTTATAAATTTCTTCAGTGAAAAGGTTATCAAGCGCTGGAACAGGCTGCCCAGGGAAGTGGTTGAGTCACCACCCCACAGGTATTCAAGATGTGTAGATGTGGCATTTAGAGACATGGTGTAGTGGTGGACTTGGTAGTGTTATGTTAATGGTAGACTGGATGATCTTAAGGGTTTTTTCCAACCTAGAGACAGGTTTTGTAGATTGAGCAGCCAAAGTGGGTTTGCAGGAGAGGATGGAAGGATGAGCAAGGAAGTCTGGTAGGGTTAGATATGTAGGTTGCTCCAAGGTTGGTTTTGCAGTGAGCTCCAAATGTGGTTTGGAAAGGACTTCATTTCCATAGCTAGGAACGCTTAAACACATGAAAATACCGTTCTTGTTTTTGTTGTTGTTGTTGCATTGCAGGTCAATAGCTTTGACATAAGCAACGTGTCCCACAACCACGCTCGAGCCGTGCTTTCGCAGCCCTGCTCGGTGCTGCACCTCACCGTGCTGAGGGAGCGGCGGTTCGGCAGCCGCACGCACAGCCACGCGGACACCACCAGCTCCCCGCGCGAAGACAGCTTTCAGGTGACGCTGCACAAACGCGACTCCAGCGAGCAGCTTGGCATTAAACTTGTACGCAGAACGGATGAGCCGGGAGTTTTTATTCTCGACCTTTTGGAAGGGGGGTTGGCTGCTCAAGACGGCAGGCTCTGCAGCAACGACCGCGTACTTGCAATTAATGGACATGACTTGAAGCACGGGACACCTGAGCTCGCTGCTCAGGTTATACAGGTAATTTGCATTCTCTGCCTGAGTCCTTAGCTCAGCTTTATTTCTTGGGCAAAGCCTGGGATAGAGTGTGTCCTGGACGGAACAGCTTGTGTAACGCTTAAAAGCCTGCAGCGATGCAATCTGCTGTGATGATGTTCTGGAAATAATAGTGCAAAAGAGGGTCTGCTTTGGCACCTACCAGATGAACTGCACCTCCTCAGAAGTGAGAAGTGCATCAGTCTTCCCTGGCCTACAGCCTGAAGAATACTGCTCGTGTGAGCAAAGAGAGTACCATGTAGCTTATTACTTAGAAGAAAAACAAAAGAGGATTATTGTTATATTTATGTATGTACTGTGGTTTTAATCTCTCAGTAAGCTCTATAAAAGTGGGCTTTGTTTTGTATGGATTTGCCTGTGCATGGAATTGGGGTTAAAACAGGAAAGTGATTTGTCAGACTTCGTAGAGGCAACAGGTGGCAGCTGGGAAGATGAAAATAGGTCTCTCGTGAGTCTCGTGCAATAAAACTCATTTCCTGAGTGTGCAAGAAGGGGCTGTTCCCAATGTCTGGCTCCGCTCTGGACACAAATATTACCAAGTATTGCTTGATGCAGTGTGACATACGACCCTTCCCTCGTCCCACAGGAAAACCTTTACTCCATGCCTTTCTCCCAGTCTGTAAGGAAAAAAATGCAGCACAGTGGTGCATGGGATGTTGGTGAAAATTGCTCTGTTTTTAGGAAAGTTGGAATAGACCAGCAGTAGGCTCTTGCAGTCTGGTGCAATCATCTTTGCTTAGTGCAGCACCACAGAGAACTCCGATACAAATGAGTAGTGAATATTTGTTTCGGGAATCATTTCAAGAGCTTCCCTTGCAGTTAAAGGAAAATAACAACAATCTTGGGAAGTGTAATTTCAGTTTCCCAGTTTTTGGATATAGTGAAGTGGTCAGAATTTTACACTGGGTAACTTTTATCTATCGAGGTGTGTTTTTTTGCGGCAATGGAAAGAGTTGATGTTTTATTTGCCATCTGGTAGCTGAGTCTCCTGATACTTCCCAAACTCCTGAATTTGATGGTCTGCTCATATATAACATCTTTCTTGGAATTCTCTTTGGGAAGTACCAGAGGTATTCAGAGCTTTTGAACAAAATCTGCAGATCCCAGAGCCATCGCCTGGACATTTCTTCCTTTTACTGCTGCGTGTTGCAGAAGTTTGCAGAGGCTGCACATGGAATTGTGTGATTTCTAACGTTTGAAGTTCGTTAACACGAAGTGAGAAACGGTCCTTTCGGCAAAGGATTTCCAGGTGGTGTAAATGTAACAGCAGAGGCAAAGGAGCCGTCCTAGGGAATATTGCAGCAAGCAGCAAGTAAAGGGACTGTTCAGTCTAAGCAGTTTGTGGCACCCTCAGGAACTGGAAAACAAGTTCTGCTCTTGTCTTATTTCATATTTTATCACACATTTTTCCTCCCTCACTGCTGATGATCAATATCCTATCAACTTCATTACTTTGTTTTATATATTCAACAGGCTAGTGGGGAAAGAGAGAATTTGATCATCTCTAGACCCCTGAAGTCACAGACAGTCAGTATTATCCGAGACACCGGGACTCACAACAGCAACGCACACCAACACCAGTCCCAGCAGCTGTATCACAGCAGACCCAACTCACATAAGGTTGGTGTTTGTCTTTCTAAGAGGTATAAATACCATTTTACTCGTGTGATGGTCTAAGTGTGTAGCAAGGCAAAGCTGGAAGAAAGAGTTATATCTTTTTTTTTACCTACTTAAAAAAAACAAAAACAAACACCTTCCATGTATGCCAGTAATGCGTCATGTCTGGAATGGGAACAAAAGATATGCAACAGCTTTTCAGTATTTTTTTGGATTTGCTGGCTGCAGTGAAAGAGCTTGTCTAACACAGTGGCCCATGTGCTACTGCTTCATGGGAGAGCTGTCATTCAAGAATGTTATTTTTTTGTTGCCAATGTGCTGGCTGCAGCCAGCAAGGACAGGAGATGTGGCGCACACCATCCAGCATGTAAAGAGCATATTGGAGGGATGTGTCGTCTCCTTCATGAGCCAAGAATGCTGGCTGCAAGGCTGCCAAGTTCTGCAGGGTCAGTCAGGGAGAGAAAGGCAGAATGAAGAGGCTTTCATGAAGCTAGTGTGAAATTATTTGAAAGGCCTGCAGAAATAAAGCCTGTGCTTGCAATGCTCTTGTAGTTAGAGAGATATGACTTCTCGCTGTTGACAAGTTGTTTTTGCGAAATAGTTATCATGTTGACTGTGTCAACCAAGTCCCCTTTCCTCCTGTCCACTCTGTTGGCATCACTGTTTAACACTATACTGCTGTTGGGAGGGTTTACATGTGTTGATAGTGTTTTCTTTTAAAAGTTTGGGTGGTTTCAGAGAAGAGCAAGTGAGGGTCTAGGAAGCTTGTTTTCCTCCTGAGGGACAAAAGTGAGGCTCCTGAATACAGTTAGTGGCTATTAGTACTTGCCACAATGTTAGGCCGTGTCAACACAATGATTGCAGCTCATCTAGATCAGAGCTTGAACCCGCTTTCCGTCTGCCAGCATGGGTTGTGATCATATCGCAGTTCCAAAGCTGATCCGTTGGCTGAGCTGATTTCCCTCACGTATCAATACCATCCCTGGCCTCTTCCGAAGTGGAAAGTCCCACGTAACCACAAGTGGACATTTCCCATGTTTCATACCGTTTGTCTTTGCCTCTCTCTCATTAATCTACAGTTGGCTGAGAAGTCTTGTGGCTTAAAAAATGTTTATGTAATTGCATGGCACCAGCCAGTTAGTCCTAAAGCCTGAAGAATTAAGCAGGAGCTGTCTTTATAAGCTATGCTATGTATACGTTTTGCTATATATGTGCTTAAGACATGTATACGAAGAGCAGAGTCAGTCAGAAGGAGCATGTGGCATTGGAAGTTGAAGAAAGCAGTGTTGTCATTTTCCAAGAGGAGGCAGGGGAGTGAATAAGTATTTGTAGTTAGAAGAATCTCTCAGGTTATTTCTTCTGTTATTTTGGATTCCTTGGAAATACTCTGTTGATTTAAGATGCTACTACACATGCATGTGGTGTGGTTTGAATGTATGACTAAATATCCTGAAGAGGAAGGGATTCAGCAAATAAAATATACTTTGATTCAGGTTTATGTCCTTTTGATGGGGCGAAACTAAATATGGGCTAAACTTCATATTTCAGGTGTTAGAAAATGAAACACAGAATATCTTCTTTCTTCAAGTTTGGATCTTCATTGTAATCATTAGGAAGTCTGCACAAGAGACCCGTTACTAGCCTGTAGCATTGATTGGCCTTAGTTACTTTGTGCTCTGGGAGATTCTACACACGAGCTGCGAAAGAAGACATGATGTATAAGAGCTTTAAATGGTTCTCTCTTTGTCATCATCAAAACACGTGTTTTCATTACTTAGGAGCTTCTTTGTAGTTCTGGGCCATATTCTACTGATAAATGAGGTAATGCTGATGTTCACCAAGACATCGAAAGATTTATTTCTGGTTTGTGTCTGCTCTTTTGACCATATGATTTTGTAATGCAGTCCTAAAATGTAGCCTATTCCAGTATAGGATGCTAAGAAAAACTGGAGTGAGATTTTCAGGACGGGCCTGTATAATCTTTCTGTCCATGTTTAAATATCTACCTGAGTGGCTTTGGGTTTTTTTTCTGACCTGGAGGAAATGCAGCTGAAGCTGATTTGCACTACTTAGTCCTTTTAAACCATTCTGTTAAAGTGCCAAATTATAGCTTTGGGATGTATTTAGTTGTGTTTTGTTCTGTTTTTTTAAGTTTTAACACTGTTATTTTTCCTTGTCAAACAGGATCTCTCCCAATGTGTTACATGCCAAGAAAAGCACATTACTGTGAAAAAAGAGCCACATGAATCTCTGGGAATGACAGTGGCGGGAGGCAGAGGCAGCAAAAGTGGCGAACTGCCCATCTTCGTGACAAGCGTACAGCCTCACGGGTGTTTGGCAAGAGACGGCAGGATTAAGCGAGGTGGGGCTTGGCTTTCCTGGTGGCATGGGTGGCCTCTGATTGCTGTTTGATGAGTACGTGCTCTGGGGTCACGTGGCATCAAAAAGTCTTTTCACAGATTCAGAGAAGCACTGATGGATGCTTTTCTTCATGTTTCAATAACGGAAATAGAGTATTTAGTACGGCACTTCCACCTTTTCTAGGAAAGGGATGTTTAGAGAACGATATCAGGGGAAGCGGATGAGACCAGGAAATGTCTGGTTAAATTCTTTAAAGCTGCCAGTAGTCCCTGGAGCTGAGAGTCTGGTGCGATGCTTTGTACTGTAGTGCACACATCCTGGTTTTGTGTTCAATGGGGTGGGCTGGGCCCCGTCTCTGTCCGAGCAATCTCCACTACTCAGCGTGATGTCTGGACAGCAGAGATGCTCTGATGACAGGCCACAGCTCACCCGTGCTAAGTTTACCCCCGAAGCTACGTCAGTATTGACCCTGGTTCCTGAATGGTTCCTGAATGGTTCCTTATCCTTTGGGACAGCTTGGGTTTGCTGGTCTGCAGGGGTGCTACAGCACCCGTCCATGTTCCTCAGCTTTGCAGAAAGGAACGGGAAGGTGGAGGTTAGACTCGGTGTAGGGGAAGGCAGTCCTGCCGGATCGATAGCAAAGCATTTGACAATTAAAACATATTGTGCCGTATGTGAAACAAAGACTGCCTATGGGATCTCTGTGATTCAGAGTTCACAGAATTACAGATTGTTTAGGAAAGAAATTTAGGAAAGATAACTTCACAGATTGCAGATTTAAAAAGAACAGTGTGGGAGCATCCTTGTATGCTTCTGAGAGAGGGAGATTTACACCCACATACCAACGGGCATGGTTTCTTTTTCTGTACTACTATGAATAACTCACTTGATGGAAGAATCGCAATTGCTCTTTCATTGTGTAGCATTAAAGTAGCCACAGCAGCAACAAAAGTGATTTGAAGTGAAGCTGCACCTCAACTTCAGGTTTCCCTGAGAGGACAAAGCTTTTAAAAAAAGAGTCTCATTCCAAATGTGATGCAGGTGTTTGCACTTTTGCTTTGGTTTTTCTGGCTTTCATCAGAGAGACGTGTGAAAGGGGAGACTGTCACTGCTTGGACAGAAAATAACATTGTTGTTTACATCCTGAGACTTTTAAAAATACTCTGAAATAAAATAAAAATTGTGGCAAATTTTTCGTGGCTTTGACTCTTTCCGGATTATCTTTGTAGAGATGCCTGCTTTTTCTTCTGATGGACTGGGTTTTGTACCAACCTTTCCAGTAGTTTTTTGAATTCCATTTTGTTCTCCCGAATACCAAGTTAGAAAAAGCAGATGACCTAAAAGACTCTGTGGAGCCTCACTCATCTGCAGGAGTTGGTTACTTTGTGGTGCCTATATTGTTCCTTCCATCAGTCTTCCTTCCCTTTTAAAGTTAGGGTGGACCTAAGATCTGTCACTGGAAACGATTAAGTAGTGGCATCTGCAAAAGCAGTTGCAGCCGAGATGGTGAGGTGCCTAGGTAATTTCTGTCTCAAATTTTCCGGGTGATGTACCATAGAAGCCACATTATTTGATGTTTGTGGAAATAAGTTATACTGATCCAGCTTAACAGTTCAATACATTAATGTTTCAAACTGACAGTATAAGTGTTCAGAGCTATGCACATTCCCGGGCTGTTAGTTCTGACTGTCTCAGCTCCAAAAAATACAGTATTAAATGAAACCCTGCTGAGACTGATGTGTTTGTTCTCGCTTGCGCCTTTGAACAGGCGATGTGCTGCTGAACATCAACGGCATCGATTTGACTAACCTAAGTCACAGCGAGGCGGTGGCCATGCTGAAGGCTAGTGCTGCTTCTTCGGTGGTCGCCCTGAAAGCCCTGGAAGTCCAGATTGTAGAAGAACAGCCCCAGGCCAACGAAGAACAATTGAGTACCGTCAGTGAAAATGAGTACGATGCCAGCTGGTCACCATCATGGGTCATGTGGCTGGGACTTCCAAGGTACGGAATTAATTGATAAATAATTAGTTACCTGTTTTAAGCTAAGTCTGAGAGAATTACAAAAGCAGAGACACTACTAGTTGCAGCACATCTGCCCTTATTTCTGCCCGACTGACCACCTCAGCTATATTTGGTTGGCAGTGTGCTTACAAAGCGGACTGTGAACAGGAGCAGTGTTTTACTTGGGGAAACTGGAAGATGAATTAGCTTGGTTTGTCCCTTCACAAACGGTAGTAAATACCCATGTGGATTCTTCTCATTGAACACAAATCATCTTTTCTGTCGTTTAACCCTTTTGTAACTTTCTGTAGAATATCTGAAATCAGAGAGATTGCTAATAACAACAGAAAGTATATACCCATATGTCTCTGCTAATCTGCTACCTAAATTTACAAGGCCAAATACATAACTTCAGAATATTGGATCAGAGTTGCCATTCCTTCAGACTCTTGACACGGGTCTCTTGAACACATGTGAGCCTGTAGTTAACAAATCCCCATGTTTTTTTTTTCCAAGAACCCATGGCCATCTCTGCCAAACGCAAAAACTGTTCAGGCTTTGCAGTGAGTTCCCTCCCCTTAACTAATCTGTGGTCTGCTGGGCATCACCATGTTTCATTTTTACTCTTCTGTTTTTCAGTCTCTTGTAACTACAGCTATAAGCTCATTCTGGCATTGCTTGCTATCAAGAAAAGCTCCCACTACAGCGAGCAGCTTTGTTAAATTCAGTCAGGGTGCGCAGGTTAATTCCTCTCCCTCTGATAGATATACCGGGCTCAGGTCTGTAGTTTAAGCATAAAATCATAACAAGAACCAGGTGTATGTGTAGCAGAGTGCAACTGAAGAGAACAGAACCATGTGTTGGCCCTCCAGAGATTTCACACTTTTTAAGAGTTTTACTATCAGTTAATTTCTCTTCCGTTTAAGTATTAATGAGTTATCTAATCTCAATAAGCACAATAAGCAGCTCTCAGTTTTGGCAGAGTACTTCCTTTCATGCTTCGCAGTGGTTTATTGCTTATATACTACAGATGCACATGTATGGCTCCTAAAGTTTTGTTACGCATTGTACTGCTGTTCTTAAAAGGAGTGGTGTACATCAGTAAAGAACTTGGCATCTTTTTTACCCAAAAGTTAATTTCTGTGTTGTTTGGTTTGTTGGTTGTTTTTTTTTAAATTACAGTCATTGCAAACTTCATTGGCAAGAATTGATTTTCACTGGGGGAGATAACCAGTACAGTTCATGAAGCGTGATCTCCATTATTTACATTCTGTGCAATAACATCGTTAATCATTTATATTTTCATTACTCATGATCCATCAGTGCAGAGCTTGTGAAGATGATGCATGGGTTTTTTGATCTTTACTCAAAGTAGAAAAAGCCTAAACTGACTGGGGGTGGAAGAAAAACCCACTGCATTTTTGGCTTGCAAACTAAACACATCAGGTACCCATTTTCCACCCACGTTCTTGCCACCTGTGAAATCCCTAAAATGCCATGCTATTACTGCCAGTTTACAGAGTTAACTGTGTTTCAGTAATTCTTCTAGTACTGCATTATTCTAGCACTGTGTTATTTCTTTTAAAACACTTTTCTGTCTCAAGATTGTGGGTTTTTTTGGTAATCAGTTTGAATACTGCGGAATTACTCTGGGAACAGAAGTCCCATCACCATCCCTCTGCTACTCTTCCACGCTTAGCACAGTGGTAATGATGAGACAGCAGGTGTTGTGTCTACTATAAAAA